AAAAAAAAAAAAAAAAAACTAACAGGAAGCCAGGTCATGTGGGTTCATATCTCAGGATCCACTCCAGAAACAGCATGTACGTTCCGGACTAAGGTAAATGCTGAGAGTTCTTGTTGAGGGCGTTGGCTAAATCTCTAAGCTATATGGGTGGATAAAGGTCAGTGAAGACACACAAAGCACCGAACAAAGAAACAAACAGGAAGAGGGTATAAACTGTGCAAGGTTGAGGGAAGTTCAAGCGCCCAGGGAAGCAGTCCAACATCATGTCCAGATTGACCGCATTTCCCTGAGGATCACAATAGGCCACTGCGTTTCATGCTGAACCTTAGTATTTTGTTTCACTGCTTCCTTTCCATCACGGAAAAGACCTTCTTTAATGAACGGTCTGGAAGAGGCTGGCATGTCAATCTGGGCACCACGGACATCAGGGGCCAGGTAATTCTTTGTTGTGGAGGCCGCCCTATGCATCACAGGATGTTGAACAGCGTGTCTGGGTTCCACCCACCAGATGCCAGTGGCAACCCCCCCCAAAGCTAATCCCCCCCCACACAACCAGAACTATCTCCAGACATTGGCATATGTTGGGGGGGGGGGTACAAAATTGTGCCAGCTTGAGACCCACTGCTCTAATGTGAACAGATAAAAATTTCATCTCAGTTTATGAACATTTTTTTTTTTGCAACGAATGGGTTGATCTTCAGGCATATATCTGTTCCTAACTTCTAAACACACCCAAAGCCACGTTCTATCTACTTATAGCTTAGAAAGAGTAAACGCCTCAGCCGTTCCAAATACCTTCCTGTCTCAGGGCCTTTGCACTGGCTGTTCCCTCTATGGTTTGCCCCAAGCAACTCCTCCTCATACTTCGAGTCTTGCCAAAACGTTAAGTGCTGAGGGCCCTGGGAAGCTTCTCCCTGGTCCTGGGTCCGAGCATGTTAGGGATTCCTATCATCTGCTCCCAAAGCCCCGGCACCCATACTTTGTAGCTACTCTCACAATGAAATAATTATTTTGGTCATGATTATTTAACGTCTCTTCCGTTTCAGCAGCAACGAGATCTTCCCCGTTGGCTCAAGCAACACCAGAGCACTTACACCAATTACTGTGGACTCAAATTTAAATGAAAAAAGTATCACCACTGGCCAGCTCTGGTACCTTATTACTAACATAGTATGATGCCCTTACTTCCTAAGGGATCAAAGAACAAGGACACAGACCACAGCCTAACCATAAATCTCTTAGGGACCTCCGGGTGACTCAGTGGGTTAAGCATCCAACTCCTGGTTTCGGCTCAGGTCATGATCTCACGGTTCATGAGTTTGACCCCCCGCATTAGGCTCTCTGCTGTCAGCACAGAGCCCACTTTGGGTCCTTTGTTCCCCTCCTTCTCTCTGCCCCCCCACCCCATGCTTGCATGCACGCTCGCTCTCTCTTTCTCTCTCTCTCTCTCTCTCAAAAATAAAAATAAACCTTAAAAAAAGTGCTATTTGTTACCGATTTCCTCTCCTGCTTCAGTTCCTGGACGTAGCGGGCTAGCTCCACGGTGATGTGTGAGGTCATGTTCTCGGAGATAACTTCGTGCTGCCCGGCGTAATCGTTCATTTCGTTCAGGGTGGAAAGGAAGGCTTTACATGCTGTATACCTACGGAACAGAACATACGGCACCCCTTTGCAAACAAGGTCACGTCCGCTCTAACGCGCTGCGCGCTGACAAAACATTAATTAAAATCAGGTTAACGTGCATCGACCTCCCAGAGGATCCTGACAATTCATTACACGTAAGAGTGTTCCGATCAAAATGGCTCGGAATTAATTACCAGTGAGACACTTTGCATTTTGGGGGACGCCGAATCACTCTATATAAGGCAGGATTTGTCTCTGTTAATACTCGGTCCAAAGATACCCCCCAATACGTATACATGGTAAATGCACTAATGCAGTGGATATTTAGGTCTAAGTGAGAGACATAATACTCTGGGGCCATCCACGGTAAGGTGCCTTAGCTACCGACTGAAATGGACACATTTCTCGGTGAAACAGACTCCTGATGTTACAAAGCCAAATCAAGACTGCGGACTGCATAATCCACACTTCCTGTATTTGCGTAGATTAAGCTTTTCCCAATCACCTTCACTGAAACAATCTGGAATAGGTCTAGTGACTCCGTCAAAGGGAAGTTAGTGGAGCAGGGTCTTTATGGTTCTTCCCGTTTAAAAACTGACACAAAGAGGAGCGGGGAAGGCAGCTTAGTTTTGTAGATTTCATTTTTTCTTTCCTTCACCATCATCACCACCCGCATAAAGATATCACCACATAATGATCGGTGTTAAACAGACCTGTATTCCTCTTCCTCCTTCGAGTTCTTTTTAGGTTGGTATTTCTTTGCAAGATTCCTAAAACAAAAATGCAGACAATGTCACCTTCTGTAGAGAGATGACTGAATGACTGAGAGAGAAAAAAAAAGACGATCGAGAAATCAGTGATGGAAGGTGAAGTCAGTGCTTTTGTTGACAACTTAAAAAAAAAAATCAGAAAATGTCCACAGTTGAAAGGCATTCATTTCCTTCGTTTTTTTAAAAAAAAATTTTTTTAACGTTCATTCGTTTTTTGAGAGACAGGGAGACAGAGCGTGAGCAGGGGAGGGGGACACAGAATCCAAAGCAGGCTCCAGGCTCTGAGCTGTCGGCACGGAGCCCGACGCGGGGCTTGAACTCACGGACGGTGACATCATGACCCGGGCTGAAGTCGGGTGCTTAACCGACCGAGCCACCGGGGCGCCCCATTTCCTTCCTTTTTAAAAAGTGATCTCCACACCCAACGTGGAGCTCGAACTCACGACCCCAGAATCAAGAGTCCCGTGTACCACCGACTGAGCCAGCCACGAGCCCCTATTTCCTTCTATCTTTCCACATGTATGATGAAGCTCCTGTTACGAACGAGTCACACACCTTTGAATCTTTTACCTCACAGGGAACTAATAAGAGCAATAAATAATAATAAATAAATAGAGCAAATAAGAACAGAGAGGGGCGGGGGCACCTGGGGGGCTCAGTCGGTTGAGCGGCCGACTTCGGCTCAGGTGATGATCGCACGGTTTATGGGTTCGAGCCCCGCATCGGGCTCTGTGCTGACAGCTCGGAGCCCGGAGCCTGCTTCGGATCCTGTGTCTCCCTCTCTCTCTGCCCCTCCCCCGCTCACGCTCTGTCTCTCTCAAAAATAAACATTAAAAACAACGTTTAAAAGAAAAGCGCAGAGGGAGGCACTAGCTGATGTCGACCCGGCTTGAATCGGGAGAGTACAGACCCTGGGCACCCACGAAGCCACGTTCATCGGCAGCCCTGAGCTGACGATGGGTTTTCCCACCAGGCCACTGCTCCTTTGTGGTCCTCTGCAGCCGAATAGTATTACCCTAAACCCATGGAAAGCACGGGGACTACGTCCAAAATGTTCAAATTAAAACTCCAAGTGCCAAGGGCATGCCGTCAAGGCGGTGTGGCTGCCCCTCCAAAGAGCTAACGAAAAGGGGAAAAGGGGAAGGAAGCCTTCTCGGAGGAAGCGGAGACAATATTCGGGGGACGTTCCCGCTACGACATTTAACGGGAACTTTCAACCTGCCCAGCCGATCTGCACCGAACGCACTCCGACCGACGAGCCCGAAATCACTCCTATCTCTCTTCCGAATCTCTTCTCCAGGTCAAGAATCCAGATAATGTCTAGAGTCAACACGCTGCGATTTACACAAAAGCTAGGAGGCAAACATGAAAAAAGAAAACTCACTCACGGGGGTCTCGCTGGCTGATTTCTCGTGGGGCCTGCCTTCGGCAGCTGTGGTTTAGAGAAACAGCCAAAGGCTGACTAATGGTCCACAGTGGGAGCCCTCACCTGAGGGCTAGTCCTCTTTTCTAGTAGCTACTTTCACTATTTCACATCCTAGTTCTTTCATTTCCCCTGAAACTACAGAATCATCTAGGAAAAAAAAAAACAAAAAACGTGCCGTCCTAAGTTTGCAGTTTGGATCAGGGTACATTTCATGGACAAAGTGGATGCGATCTCATCTCTAACAGGTGTTACTAGATGACATGAGGCCGTGGACTTGGGTAAAAAGTCTGTGTGTCCAGTTCTTCATCCGTGAGTCCGAGGGGGCTGGGTGAAATGGCCTCTACTGTCCCTTCAAGTTTGGAAATTCTAGGGGAGTATGTAACATCCGCTAAGATATTGATCGTTGTAATTTAAAATGAAGATACGAGGGGGGCTCCTGGCCGGTTCAGTCAGTAGAGCATGTGACTCTTGATCTTGGGGTCGTGAGTTCAAGCCACACGCTGGGCGTAGAGATTACTTAAAAATAAGGTCTTTATTTTTTTTTTAATTAAAAAAAAAAATTTTTTTTTAACGTTTAGTGATTTTTGAGACACAGAGAGACAGAGCATGAACGGGGGAGGGTCAGAGAGAGAGGGAGACACAGAATCTGAAACAGGCTCCAGGCTCTGAGCTGTCAGCACAGAGCCTGACGCGGGGCTCGAACCCACGAACTGGAGATCATGACCTGAGCCGAAGTCGGACGCTTAACCGACTAAGCCACCCAGGCGCCCCAAAAATAAGGTCTTTAAAAATAAAAAATAAAATAGGGCACCTGGGTATTTCAGAGGTTGTGTGTCCGAGTTCGGCTCAGATCATGATCTCACGGTTCATGAGTTCGAGCCCTACACTGGGCTTGCTGCTTTCATCACAGAACCTGCTTGGGATTCTTTCTCTCTCTCTCTCTCTCTCTGCCCCTCCCCTGCTTGAGTTCTCTCTCTCTCTTTCTCTCAAAACTAAATTTAAAAAACATTAAAAAAAAATTAAAATAAAAAATAAAATTAAAATGTGACTTAAAGAAAAAAACTAATGCAAAAGAGGGAAACCTTGTCTGCTAAAAGCACAGTACAGTTCTTTGAGCTGGTTTGACCACAATCACCCCGTAAAAGGGAGATTTAGTAAAAACAGTCTGTCCTCCTTACAGGTGGCAGGGACAAAAGGGGAACACGTGGAAAGCAGGTGAATATATAACCAACAGGTTCTTGTTAGCAAACACGGGAGACTGGAGTAGTAAAAAGCCTATTGGCTGCATGTGAAATATTTTTTTAATGTGTCTTTATTTTTGAGAGAGCGGGAGACAGAGACAGAGTGTGAGCAGGGGAGGGGCAGAGAGAGAGGGAGACACAGAACCCAAAGCAGGCTCCAGGCTCCAAGCTGTCAGCACAGAGCCCGATGTGGGGCTCGAACTCATAAACTGAGACCATGACCTGGGCTGACGTTGGACGCTTAACCGAGTGAGCCACTCAGGTGCCCCTGCATGTGAAATGATTTTTAATGCAAGGTTTTAAATATTAATCATTTCTTCTGTTCACAATAAATTATAAATGGAAAATACCACTTCGAAACTCACATCTTCTATAAAAATTCTTTCAAAACTGTTATTTTAAATGTTTATTGAAATCTGACTTCGGCTCAGGTCATGATCTCACAGCTCGTGAGTTCGAGCCCCGCGTCGGGCTCTTTGCTGACAGCCTCGAGCCTGGAGCCTGCTTCGGATTCTGTCTCCATTCCTCTACCCCTCACCCGCTTGTGCACGCGGGCTCTCTCTCTCTCTCTCTCTCTCAAATATAAAAGAAAACATTAAAAAAAGTTTTTAAAAAAGTTAAAACAAAAACCCATCATATTGTGATGAATGAGTTATCTCTTTGATCATATTAGCATACGTAAACAGCATTCAAAATGCTTCTTAAAAGCACCGATGAATAATTCACTCTATAAATGCCAGCAGAAAACTAAAAGCTTAAGAGGTCTGGAAGGGAAAGTCAGGATATTTCTCTCAGGGACCGCTACAAAAAAAAAGATCAACTTTCATTTGCATTCTCTGGAGATGGGCTTTCTTGCCCTATTTTGTACGAGGTTATTTTAACAAACAAGCAAGAAAAGAAACCACAAAGAGGATCTATAAATTTATGGGATCTTTCTGAGAACTTTTAAGTGTTTTATATATTAAACTTGCTCTGCAGACAGGCTAATTAAAAGGCAAGAGAAAAATATAATCCTCTCCTAAGGATACTGGATGTAAACTTAGTGATCCTAAGAACCACGGGGAGGCTTTTAAAAAGGAGATACTTGGGCTCCATTCCAGACCCTCTGAAATGGAAGGTCCAGGGCTGGGTCTAGGAATGTTTTGTTTTTTCCTATCTTTCGTTTTTTTAAAGGAGCTCACCACAAGATTTCCAGATAAAGACAGCGGAACAAAATTCAATCAGAGAACTATGCTTTCCCAGTAAGGGGTGAAAGTCACAAGCCAGGACAATTTTCAACAGCGGAAAGCAAGCCAATGAAGAAAGGAACGCAACCTCAGTCTACACAGTCTGAAAAGTGGTGACCGTGGCGAGGGACGGAAGATTCTGGAACGGCGTAGAATGGAGGCTGACCCCAACCTCACCGCCGCTGCGGGGTGGGGCTGGGGGGTAAGCCCACCAAACCCTGAAGAGCAATTCTTTTTTTTTTTTTTTTT